AACTGAGCAACTGCAGGCACTCCTCACTTAACAACCAAGTTCCATTCTTACAACTAGGTTAAGTGAACTTATCAATAAGTGGGGAGCAGTAATAGTGTATAAAGGAGTAACATCATGTGCTGTTGAGAAGAGGTGTGGCGAAAATGCAAGCATGGATTTATGAGGCTTGTAAAGGGTCATAAATCCAAGTGGTCATTAAACAGGTAGGTTGTTAAGTGACGAGTGCCTGTATATAGCCAACAATCAGATTAATTTGAGTATGTGGAAAAACAAAGAACAGACCATGTGTTTAAGGCACTAAAACCTGAGCAAATCTTAAAAACCGCAGCCTCGGTTCTTCTCTCTTGATAGAAGGTATATATTACTTTAGCATTCTCTCTGTTGTTGGTTTTTACAGTGACTGACAATATTGGGGCAACAGGAACTGGGGTGAGTTGCAACTACCATATTCTATTAGCACACTACTCTATAGAACAGCTATGAGAAGCTATGTGAAAAAATAAAGCTCACAATGCTTTTGTGCAGTCTTTCATTTGGATGGTGCCATCTGTGCAGTCCTACCAATTCCCAGTCCTATTAAGTCTGTAAACTATCTGCAATTCACTCCATCTTCACACAATTTATGGATGACTGGTGCTCTAAACCCTCTGTAGGCAAGAAGTATGTATCTCATTCTGCAAGCAAATTGGAAATAACATTGGTCCTAACTAATGAACTGTCCATCAACAACAACCCTGTGCAAGATACCTAAAATTAAGAGCAGAAAAAAGTAAGGCATTTGATCATCTTTGGATTAAAGACATCAGTATTTCAGGCTGATAATAAGATGCTATGTGAACCATTTTGTCATAATCAATGACCATTTGCTGTCACTGATTAACAAGGCTGCTTACCTGAAAATAATCTAGAACAATAGTTCCCAACCTTGGGTCTCCAGATATTCTTGGACTAAAATTCCCAGAAACCTTCACCACTACCTGTGCTGGCTAGTATTTCTGGGAGTTGTACAGCAAGAACATCAGAGGACCCAAGGTTGGGAACCACTGATCTAGGAGAAAACAGAATGCAGACCTGATGAAAACAATGAGTTCAAACAGTCCACCCACACAACACTCATACAATCAACAATTGTTCATTACTATTGCTTAATGATGAAAATCCATGCTGACTCTTTTCTATAAAATGTGTGGGCGCACACGCGTGCACACACACTGGCTGGACAGCTCAGTGGTTTAGGTATCTGGCTGCAGAGGCAGATGTTCACTACTGTGGCTCCTAGGAGAAGAGTCAGAATACATAGCCATGGGCAATTTGCACATCCCCGAGGCACCCCCAGGAAAAGGGGATGGTAATCCACTTTTGTGTCTACCTAGAAAACTATGAAAAGAGTTGCCATAAGGTGGAATCAACTTCTTACATCATAATCACCACCACCATCATCTCCACAGTTGCCCTCCCACCAAATATGAAACTCCTTTACTATTTAAGCATGTGGAAGGGAGACAAGCAGCAGTTGCCCTCCCACCAAATATGAAACTACAGTACTTTGCTATTTAAGCATGTGGAAGGGAGACAAGCAGAACTAATTATGCATATATGTCTATCACTAGATGACTGTCAAGGGATGCCTAGTTTAATTCCAATTATTATAACAGGCACCTATGTATTACAGAGCCTAGAAGGGTGTTTGGGTAAACATTCACAATACGGTCTCAACTAACATTTACTTCTTACACAAACTTGTTTTAGACGCTGTAGATGGCAAAACCAAATAATATAATCATATTGCAAACACTCTCATTTTATTTATTTTTCCATATATGACACTAGGGATAAGAATTATAGTCTATATGTGGTTGTGTTCAGATATCAACTATTTCAGCTAATCAGATGAAGATGCAAGAGGCCTATCAAACACTAAGATACCATATTTTTAATAAAATCAAAAGGAAGAGAAATAGTCTTAGTCAAACTCTCCTTTAGTTTTTAACATTCTATGATAATATGCTAACTGTATGTCTTAGTATTTCTTACTGCCTATATAAATTCATCTTTGTTGTTGTTGTTTAGTCATAAATTCGTGTCCGACGGTAAATTCATCTTTGTTGCTGTTGTTTAGTCGTAAATTCGTGTCCGACTCTTCGTGACCCCATGGACCAGAGCATGCCAGGCCCTCCTGTCTTCCACTGCCTCCCGGAATTGGGTCAAATTCATGATGGTAGCTTCAGTACCACTGTCCAACCATCTTGTCCTCTGTCATCCCCTTCTTCTCTTGCCTTCACTTTTTCCCAACATCAGGGTCTTTTCCATGGAGATTCCAAAGTACTGCAATCTCAGCTTCAAGATCTGTCCTTCCAGTGAGCACTCAGGGTTGATGTCCTTCAAAATGGATGTTTGTTTTCTTTGCAGTCCAGGGGACTCTCAAGAGTCTCCTCCAGCACCACAATTCAATAGCACCAATTCTTCGGTGGTCAGCCTTCTTTATGGGCCAGCTCTCACTTCCATACATCACTACTGGAAAAACCATAGCTTTGACTATGCGGACCTTTGTCAGCAAGGTGATGTCTCTGCTTTTTAAGATGCTGTCTAGGTTTGTCATCACTTTCCTCCCAAGAAGCAGGTGTCTTTTAATTTTGTGGCTGCTGTCACCATCTGGAGTGATCATGGAGCCCAAGAAGGTACATTGTACTTAAAAAATTATATAGGCAAGTAGATAATGAACATTGTACAGACCAAACCTACAAACTGTAGGCACTTAAAAATAACTATAATTGCTCCTTAGACTATTCAAAGAGGAGCATCTCAACTATAAGCTAATTTGAAAAGTAAGCCTAATGCACTTGCCTTTGTAAGTGTGTTTTTCCATACGATGGCTGCAGTTAGCACATTAGCCTGACTGAAATTTTTAATTTTCACCTCATAACTTTATTTACACAAATCATAACTGTCAATGGAGAGGAAAGCCCAAAATTAAATGTTATAAAACAATTGAGAGCCTATTAATATACCTTCTAAATCAATTCACATATTTGCATAGAAAATATAACATAAATTATGGGAAATTCTCTTATCCACCATTCCATCTAGCTGAACCAACTAGTACACCGACTGTCAGATGATTCTCCAGAATTTCAGACAAGACACTTCACCAGTTCTCTCTGGAACTTTGAATGAAAACACATGCCCTTCCAATGAGCTACAACCAGATCGATTTTAAAATTTACAGAACATTTGCAATAGGGTGAAATAAAAGAAAATGACAGTGGCTCTCAAGGCTTTTAAGGCACAGTCCTTCCAGACATAATTGGAGAAATCAGGGACCAAACCTGGGGCTTTCTGCAATGACAGCATATGCTCTGCCACTTTGCTACAGTGACTCTGTCCAAAATGTTTCATATCCAAGATAGTTTAAGTACCTGTTCATCTGAAGACCTAACCTTCTTTATGTTTCAATTATGGCAGAAGCATGTCCAATGGAGACTTGACAACATGTCTTTCTTTAGCCACATATAAACTATGGGATTGTATGCTGTTAAGGCTAAGTTGGCACCATCTTTCACAAGGTTCTATTTTTATTGTCTTTTTTTTAACTAAATAGTAAAATAAAATATTAGGATATATTTCTGTAGCAATAGTGAGAACATCATTAACTGCTAATATAGTACAGAATCACTCCCACCTCCACAGTCTTTTGTGTAATTTGGTCACTACACCTAATTTAAACATGCTGTTGGTTAGACAAGAGATAAGAGCTGTAAACTATTCAAAAAAATTTACATCCTGCATGTTATGAGATACAGTAGAGCTGGCTGGATAGTTCTGTGGTTTAAGTGTCTGGCTGCAGAGCCAGAGGTTGGGAGTTTGATTCCCCACAGTGTGCCTTCTGGGAGGACAGCCTGGCTGTGTGGCCTTGGGCAATCTGCACAGTCCCAGGGTGGCCCCAGAAGAAGGGCTTGGTAAACCATTTCCTAGTGGTTTCTACCTGGAAAACCCTGAAAAGAGTCACCATAGGTCAGAATCGATTTGACAGCACATGATAATTTTAATTATATACTAATCATGAAATATGTATGCAGATACAAATGTTAGAATTTTGATTCTGTGGTAGATCTTTTAAATGATTAAGATTTTGAGGAGGCACATATACAGCATGACATCATGGTAGAACTGACTATATCCTTCAAACCCACTCCCCACCCCCCACACACAGTTTACTTAACCTATTTAGACCACTCTGGTTCAGAGAAAAGAGAAAAAATGTGCAATTTATTAAGTACTATACATATTATGTGTGTGTTCTATGCCTTCAAGTTAGAACTGACTTGTAGCGAACCAAATAGGGCTTTCAAAGTGAGATTTAAGTGGTTTTACCAGTCCCACTCCCCCAGTTCAAATAGGGCTTTCAAAGTAAGTGAGATTTCAGTGGTTTTACCAGTCCCACTCCCCCAGTGAATTTCCATGGCCAAGCAGGGATTCAAACCCTTTCCTCCATGAGTCCTAGTCCATCCCTCTATCCACAACATCACAGTGGGAATCTGGAAATTCTGGGGACTCAAAAGAAAGGGGTTTTCATTTCTTCCTTTACTCAACGGCTAAAAGTTGGAAAAACTTCAGAGATGACAAGACAAGTATATGAAAAGATAAATGTAACATAAATTGCCATTTTAAAAAAATTAAAAATAATCCTGCTATAAATATAAACATTTTTCTGTTGTAAATACTGTGAAATCTCACTTCATATTTAAATAACAGTAACAAAATAAATATTTACAAAGTACACTAAATATTGATGATACTTCATAAGTTGTATATAATTCAAAATATTTTGTGTTATTTTAGTTTTATTCTATTTTCAAAATTAAGCAATAAAAATAAAATAGGTTTCAAGATCCTTTTCTGTTATTTAAAGAAAAATTGTAAAACAACAGAAAGTCTTAAGCTATGTAGTTGTCCAACTAAGAAGACATGACAAAACACAGGTTAAGACTCATGCAACTTACCATCTTTAACTGCATGAGGCTTAATAATGCAACAAGTACAGTTCGTATATTTTGCAGTGTTGGCAGGTCCACGACCTCCACTAGACGGAAAGAACAACTCCAGCTCCTGAAAATCATGGAATTAAAATTAACAATGTACAACTGCATGGCTCATCACTAGAACACATTCACTGTCTTTATGTGGTTAATTTAAAAAAAATGGGGTGAGATTGAGGCTCGGGAGTGGCAGAGGAAGTTAAGGGAAGAAAAGGAGGTAGTAGAAAGGGAAGAGAGAGAATGACTGGCATGGCAAGTGGAGGAGGCGAAGAGGAGAGACTACCAGATGGACCCTGGTCCCCCTTCTATCAGACCCGAAACATGGGATGGACTGACCCGACCGAGGATGAGACCACTCCCCTCCTGGATGGAGAAGCCAGAGAGGTCCTGAGAGAAGAAGGGGTAACAGGTTGGTCAGGACCCTGGGACAATAATGACACAAACTCGTTTTTGAGGGACACTTGGAAACCCCTGTCTGACCCGTTGGCGACAGGCAACAAGTTGTGGAATAATTGTTCAGACAGTAATGTTCTATTGAATACTTCAATAAACATTTCTCCTAGTTCAAAGTTAAAAGAGACTTGTGATTTTATTGTGGAGACCGATGTTCCAAAAATTGAACCCTCACAAATACATACATAGCGCAGGTAATATATGAATATTACATTTAGCTATCCTGATTCATAGGCATTGATAGACGTATTTTCCAAGAATTTGTCAGGTTCTTACAAGAGCTGTCTGAGTTTGCAGTTATCACTGTGGGCAAAATCTTGCTGCATAACTTTGCACCAGCATAAGCCAGATCAGGCACCAGGAACATTTAATTTAAACGTACAGAAAGTTTCCACCCCAATCTTTCAGGTTCTGAGACTCCCTAGAGCTCCCTCTACATTTGCAAAATCTTTGAGAATCTCATGACACAGGGCAGGAGCCTTTAACAGGCAATCTGGTGGCAATTTTTAAATTATTATTAAAACAATCTTTACCCCATCCCAATCCTGAGGCTCCCAAAGGCTTTCTCAGGGCAAAAGAGAACCTAAGAGAGCCTCGAAATCTAAAAAGTCAGGGGGGATTAGAAATGTTCCATGAGTCTAAATTAAAAACCACCAGCACAAAGTTATGCCAACATGATTTTGCCCTGTATTTTGTGGCAGCAAGTCCCACAGTTCAATTAAGCACAGTGTGAAGAAGGGCGTCCTTTTCATCTTCAATGGGAAGAAAAACGTACTATTTTGACAACATCCAGACTGGGTGGAGGTGAAACCAGGTGCAACAAGAGCAGGTGTAAATACCCACTGAGAGCAGCAACCCACTCAATAACAATATTTTATGCATTAATGTAGAAAAAAATTATAACTGTTTTCACAGTTGTGGCTTTTTTGGATTAAGAGGGGTATTGGCACTTAAAAGCAGGCTTTGCATTGACCATCTACTGGGAACATGTGTGCTTTGTGGGAATACTAGTATTCCTACCTTCAAGGGTTGACAGGAGAGCCAAAGTGCTTAACCTTGTGGATTTCTGGTGACTCAGTGGAAGCACTGTTTAGTCATGTTGAGACTGAGGTGTTGGGAGGGTACCAGGTAGAAAGATTCCCCCAGTCATCAGCACATCTGGCCCTCCTGGACTTCACTCATGCCGGAACAATCAGGGTAGGAGAGCTCAGTGTTTGTTTGTTTGTTTGTTTCCCGCCCATCTAGAGAGCATCTACTTTGGGCGGCTTACAACAAGATTAGTGTGTACTTCCCTGACCCAAGAAACCTTGACATCAACCGTGTTTTAGACTGGCAGCTGTTATCAGCTCTAGCCACCCCAGGCAATAGTGAGACCTGATGGAAGTTGGAATAGCAAATAAGATTTTAAAAAACTTACCCTAGCAGCAGAAGCAAAAGAATCAGGGCCATGAGCCACATTTCTTATACCATCAGTTCCAAATTTTGCCCTAATGCTATCTGGAGCGTCAGTTCTGGCTACAGATGAGTTTGCAGGGCCCAGGAGATTTTTCCATTTATTGATGGCATCATCCCCCAAAATCTCTAGGGCAACAATGGGACCACTTGTAATAAACTCAAGTAGCTCACTGCAAAGAGAAAATAGATGAATCAGAATGCACAGGAAGCCAACAGTTCAGGCATGGTTCTATCCCCCTAAATAGAATAGAAGTCACAAAACACCAACCTAAGAGGGCCAGAGTAAACATTTAGTAATTGTATTTTCTAGATTAGATCAGGTACACAATCACAATTTCTCACAGAGCTTTAAGAAAGTCTAGTTTCCTCATTATGAAACAAGATCAGAAATCATTATAATCTATAATATTTGTGAAAACAGCTAGCACTGAAACAAGCTGAAAACTGACTCACTGGTTATCCATGATTTCTTATCTTTACTATTGTTTCATGGATGATTAAGTAGTACCAGCCTCCCAGCAGGCTGCATGGTACAGAAGACTTGCCAAATCTATTTGGGCAGCCAAGCAAGCTTCTCTCTCTGTAAATCTCCTCTCACTGTTACAGCCCGTATATGGACAACTATCAGAAGTCATGACCATCGACAAAACTGAGGCAGAGACTAAACCCCATATCAAAATAGGTGCACAGCACTGTTGAAAAGAGTTGGCACTGGGCAGCCTACTATTAGGAACAGCAGACACATGAAAAGTTAACAGAAGATCAGTGGTGAGGATATATTTGAATTCCATCCTTCCCACGGAATATCTTAAAACAAAATGCAGGTTTTTTTTTACTTTAGGAACACAGAAAGCTTATCTTGTGAGTCTAATATAGCCCAAGGGAGGTAACTACTGAGCCTATGTGCTTCTTCCAGTCAGTGACTGACAGTGCTGTAAAGATGTTAACAAACCTCTATTGGTGTTCTAGGAGTGTTTTATAAATCTATTTGCAGGGTGAGGTGCATTTTGGATGGGAGTGCTGCTCAGGATAGAAAAACTAACATTAGCCTCCTCAACAACCTCCGTACATTCACACATTGAATGTACCACCATCCCCGTACCCCTTGTGATTAAAACAGTTAAAAGCTGCCACTGGTTCAGTGGAGGCTTTTAAAACTCTAAGTGCATTGAATTAAGGGGGAATGTATATAGGAAAATGCATCAATTAATCATCAAGGATGCATACCAGTAGTGGGGTGTCTCTGCCCAATCTGAGGTGTGGCCCCACTCACTGCTGACATGTCCCATCTACCAGAAAAATAAGTCAATACCTGCCCCCCAATGCTCTCCACTCCTACTAAAGCAGATAAAGCTGAATAAGCTGAAAGAATTTGTTTATCCCATCCTTCTTACCCAGTCTCCCAATGCTGCTCAACTACAACTGCCACAACTTCTGACATTAGTTATAGTGGCTGAGTGAGATGAGAGATGGAACCCAAAAGTATCTGGAAGGGTACATGTTCCCCAGCCCTGCCACAAAACCTCAAGCAGAAGCCTTTGCTATCACTCACTACACAATCCTTTTCACTAATGATGGTAGGAGGTGAATCTCAGACCTTTCCCATCTAAACTATCAACCACTGCCCATCTCCATTTACCTACTGATGTGACAACATCAACTTCCAAGTAATTTACTCCTTGTTACTTAAATGTATATACAGTACTACCATTACATGCTGCCATGGCAACTTCTGAAATTACTAAAAACTAACATAAGAGAAGTCTAAAATTCATATAAACAATCTCACTGGAAACTAACTATAAGACTTTAAAACAGCACCCAATGCCTCAAAACAACATAGACGGAAACTCATTCATTCATTCATTCATTCATTCATTCATTCATTCATTCATTCATTCATTCATTCATTCATTCATTCATTCATTCATTCATTCATTCAACCACCCAATTAGTGGCAAACCACTACTCTGGGCAGTTTAGAAACTTGAAACTTAAACATAAGAACCCACCCACCACCTATCCTAACAAAATGACCTAACAGCCCCCACAAAAAGCCCACAATGGTGATGACAAATGCAGACAGAATCAAAATATAATATAAATAACGACAATTATAAAGGGAAGAGATCTTAAAAACTTCTCTAAAAAGTGTGCTTTATTTTCTTTCAAAATACTGGAATGTAAGGCATTCCACAAGGAGTGTCAAAATCTGCTTAAGAACCAGCACAGATAGGGCCAGGCATACCTCTATGGGATAAGAGTTTAAAACACATGGGAACTACTAAAAAAGCACTGTCTTTAGTATCTGCTCTCCTGATGGGCCTTGACAGCAACTCTATGAGAAGTATTTAGTGCATCTTATGGCCCAGGCTTCATATGCCTACAGACACGCCTTGAAATACCTGATCCCAAACTGTTTTAAGGTTTGAAGGTCTAACTAGCAAGGTACTGAAGGATCACACTGTGGCTACTGCTAACATCATAAAGAATCTGGGTGGTGGGGAAATATGTGTCAGCCACTACTGATCCCACCAAGTGTGGAAGAGAATGATGGAGTAAGCCAATCTGGCAAGCCCCTTCAGCCTTCCACTCCTACCAAAATACTGTCCACAATATTTTCCTAAAAACTGTCATAATCAATAAGACACATGCAAAAGTCAATCTATGAATCTTTATTCCAATGAGTACAACTATCCAGTTTGCTGTAATATATACTTACTTATAATAAGGTTTAGCTTGGTGGTCTGCATGGAAATCCATTGCTTCTCCTCTACCAAAAATTAAAAAATGTTTTACAATAAATATCTTCATTCATGCTTCTATGAAAACATACATGCATAATTATTTTTGATTTGAAAAATTACAAGCAAAGTTTTAATTGTACACAGGATTTCCCATGCCCATTGTAAGCTTAGAAGGAACTGCCTTATACCAGGCCTATCTCATCATCTCAGTCTGCACCAGCTAGCAGAGGGGTCTCCAGGGTTTCAGAGAGAAATCTTCCCAAAGCTTTCCTGGAGATGCCGGGGACCTAGGATTTTCAATGCAAAGCCTGTTTTCTACTACAGACCCATGTCCTTCTCCCACTAAAAACTTCTGTGTTCCCATTATAAAACAGAGAGCTCCTAGAACAGTATGCTTTGGGAATAGCATGGGGACTTTAGCTGAATTGGAGAAAAACAAATTCCTTGGCCTTTCTTAGGTCAAAGTGCCTTCCAACTAATGTGAGGGGTACTTTAGATACACTGCTATATGTTATAAATGCAATAAATTAGAAGTAGATGCTGGCAGGCAAAGATGTGGTTGGTTATTCCAAATCAGTATGTGACTCAGCCCGTTCCACTACTGGCATCTTTTGAAATATGTTGCCTGTGCCTTGTCTGCCTTTCTTTTTGAATCCTGTTCTCTTGTCATTTACTAGTTCCTTTGTTCTTCTGGAAGAGTATTGCTTCCATTTTCTTTTTTTATTGTCTCTCTTCCTAGGATCTTCTGTCCATCCTGCTTTTAGGGCCAAAGGTATTCAACATCAAAGAGTCAGCATGGTATAGCAGCTGTTGCATTTGAGTGGGAGTCAGAAGACCTGGATTAAAGTTCTCACTCAAGCACATTGAGCACAATGGGTTAGTCATCTGGGGCAGTCACACCTGCCTTCTCCACCAGGCCCATCTCACAACAGTCTTGTGAGGTTAAAGTTAGAAAGGAGGAAGACTGCATACTGTCTTCAACTTGCTGGAGGAAATCCAAGATACAAACTTAACTAACAACAAGCTAATAAATAACTAGCAATATTCAGATAATTTAGAATATTTATGAACATGCTAATTGCTGCGGAACCCACTGCTGTGGTGAAAAACAGTGCAGGAGAGCTACTGGCTCCATGTTTTGTTTATGAGCTTCCCAGAGAAAATCAGTTGGCCAAAACAAGGAATACAATACTGGACTTGATAGACTCCTTGTAATTTTTTCTCCTTGTATTATTAAAATATATCTATGTATTATAGTGCTTGTTAAATGTGTGCAATTGTTTGAATTAGATCTGGATTGTTAGCTATGAAAAACTGTTTTGCTTATTACAAAAAAAACACTAATCTTGGAAACAAATACATGTTTAATTTTATACAATGATTGGTACTAGGACTTGCAAGACAGACTGAGAGGAAAATTTCCTTTCCTTAAGAGAAATTTTGTATTTATGCAGAAGTTATTTATACAAACTATAGACATTTTTATACAAAATATACAATAGTTGTTGAAAAACAAAAGTAGCCCATTTCTATTTAGCTCAGAAGAAATGTTTCCTCACAAGCATTGTCAATGTGACTTTAAATCTCTTCATCCAACGCTGAGGCTGAATTTACAATTATTAGAAAGCACAGAGTAATCGCAAACATGGTAGGGAAGGGCTAACAATTTCAAACCAAGAACTCACATGATTTCCTGTTGCACAGCTATAGTCTTGGAGTTATGCATATGCATCAGGATATGGACTGCTGGACCACATCGGTTCAGGCCATGGCTTAGGTGGCTGGCTGTGAAAACTTCACAGTCTCTTAAATCAGAGTTGGGCAAACAATATCTCAGTGTTCTCCACTGAGGCACCTTTCATATGCAAAACATTTGTTTTTATTAATAAAAAGGGGGTTATTAGTTTTTTTAAAAAGGAGCAAAATGTGGGTTTGTGTTCCCCACAAGCTGTTTCAGCAAGGAGGCACTTTTCCCCCAAAAAAACTGGAAGTGATTTACATTCACTTCTGATTCTTAAAAAGCCCACATCTTTCTGCTTCTTATGGTCAAAGCACAGGCATACTGCATCATATTGCTTCCCTTCCCCCCTTACATTCATTGACTAGATGAGGTTTTTATTTGCTTTAACAAAACATTACTGAGGAGATGCAAAAAGAAGAGATACGTTGGCAAAAGCCACTACTTTAAGATAAGAGTACTTTCTCTGTAAAACAAATACATTTTTGTGAACCAGTAAAGGGCTTTTAAAAATGTGATAGCTTATCTTCACCACTATTAGAAACTTACCTTGTAAGTTTCATCATTTTAGCTTTAGTTATTGTAAAACCAGCATTAATAATCATATCAATGACTTCCCCAAGTTTGAGTGCTACATCAGGTTTTAATAAAGCCAGGGTTCTAGGAATGAGAACAAGAATAAAATAGAAATAAGGCACCACAAATATTAGTTCTACAATCACAAATATCAGCATAAGAAAGTACTATCATGCCAGTTACATCACTTAATACTCAGATCTTCCACATAGAATATTTGAATCAAACCTTTGAGAAAGAAAAGTGGAACTTTGTCATATAAACAACTGCATGAAGGACGAGGGGGGGTGTTATTTGTGTGGCAATTACAACCATTTCTCCTTGATTTCACAGATCCCTGTTGGATAGAGAAATAAGGATGTGCAATGTATGGCCAAATTCAGTAGGCCTGAAACAGACCAGCTTACAACAATGTTGCAACATTGTTGTTTATATTCTCACACTACAGGAAAGAAAGGAAGGGGTTGTGTTAATTTTCAGAACCCCTCTGCATTTCTGGTGGAATATGGGATGGTTTTGTTTTGTTTTTTGCCCCCAGCACTCCCTGAGCACCGTACTAGCCTGAAAATGGCACAAAATTGATTTTTCTTTCCCCAAAAAGGAGGTCAAACAAGTGAGTGCCCAGACACTTACACTGGAGTTTGATATTTTTGTCTAATTTTTTAGGGGGGAAAAACCCTTATGCAAAAGCCACTGCTCTCAGATGCCTCTGGCAACACAACAATGCAGCCTCGTTTTTTAAATTATTATTTATTTCTGAAGAGTTTGGAGGGGGCTGCATGCAGTCTGCACTTTGCTTACCCTCGCTATAATATAATACAGGCTAAATATTATTTCATTGTGCCTTAGTTTTTCTCCTCATTTCACTGACTTAAAATGCTGACACTCAGGGCCATTACTCTTTCTCATATATCAAAGGATAACTGAAAGACAACTGGCACTAAGTACAGTGAGTGCGATCAGTTTTCCTTCATGCCTACAGAAGTATCATACAGAAAGGGGGAGAGCACGCTGAGGGGTGGTGGTGACTCTACCTATTCTTAACAGCTATGTACATATGTATTCGTAAATACAGAGGCTAGATATGGCTGTGAACATATGATTACCATCTATACATAGGCTGAGTGTTGGAAAGATAGGCAGAAGAGTGACAAAATGTTGAAAGCTCAGACTAGGTGATACAGACAGTTCAAAGAAGTCAGTCTGCTTTGAGTAACCAGAGATGGTCTGTCATCAGCTGAGAGGAGAAAGGAGTTGTGGAGATACTGTTGCTTAGCATAGTAAACTGCACTAAAGTAGGCCCACATGAATCAGTGAAACTCATGGAGGGCTTGATGCACCAAATCTCCATTGATCCCTCACCACTGTCTACACTGATGTGAGTGAAACAGTTTCTAGTGGGCCAAGGTTACCCACATGTGATCAGAAGGCTGCATGTGTGGGTTAGCATTTTAAGCATGAGGCAGCTTTTCTACAAACTCCCTCTGAACGGGGAAACCAAAAACTTGGGGCAAGGAGTAGATGTCAACCAGACAGGATCAGAGAAGACTGCCACAAACACCTCCATGTATCAGTAACAAGTGGTGTTTTGTGTGTGTTCTGATAGCAAGGTGTCCTGAGAACCAACCTTACCTGAAGAGAATATAAATATAAATAAACCAACCTATCCCTTCCCTTTTCATGTCAAAGAACTTGACTCAATTTTTATCTAAGACCAATTTAATCCCATATTGGTTGTTGTGGGTTTTCTAGGTTGTTTGGCCATGTTCTTAAGGTTTTTAAAGAAAAGAATACGGCCAAACAACCTGGAAAACCCACAACAACCATCGGATCCCGGCTGTGAAAGCCTTCAAGAATACATTAATCCCATATTATTATGTCCTTTAGAAAAAAAAATGATCATGGAAAAAAGTACATTTCCATACCTTCTTATATAGTTAAATAAGGAGGCTCTCTGTGTCAGAAGACAAAGAGTATGAAAGCCACTGGTCAAAACAGCATACACAGTAAAAAGGGCCTGAGTTTCAAAGGCCACATCCTCTCACCTTTCTTTACAACTGCCCAACATGCGGGAAGTGTACTGATCCCCATAGTCAACCAAATTGAGGTGGCGGGAGAATACTGTAATTCTGTTTCCAACAAATAGATCTTTAAAGTTCAGATCTTCATATTTAGTGCGATTGAGAAATCTACAGCGGTTCTTCATGTCATACTGCAAGGTAAAGAGATTGAGTTATCTACGTGTAGAACTAAAATATATTATAATGTGATACAACTCGAAAAGCTCCTTATGAATGATTAAAATATTATGAGACAACAGCTGAAATATTGTTATTTAGCATAAGGAAATGTGTAACTTTTAGTTCATTCAGAACGTCTTTGCTATGATTCTTCAGGATGTATGTACATGCACACTAACTTGGTATGTGTGTGCGCCACTGTTACAAATCACTGTGAAAACGCTTTATTTGCCATCTAAGTACAGACTGAAAGTAAGAAATTTCCTTACATTAAGCAACAGGATTTCAATTAATGTGTTCATTTTTAAAGTTTTGTGAATGAGGTCTTACAGCCTTTATTTTGTACAGTTCCACAGGCTTCTGTATAAATTATTTAGCATAATCTTTCTATCTGGGCTAGTACCTAGTTTAGAAGACACCATCAGAAAATTTTGTAACTCTCAAACTGGGTCTGTATCTATACACACTAGTTGACAGCAATATATGGGGATGAGAAATAACAGACCTGATTGCTTTATTTTCCAACTTTAACTGAAGTTAGTCCAATCCTGGAGTTTTCCTCCCACTCTTAACATGGTATCATACTGGAAATTTTTGAAACCATATTAAAATTGCTTGCATTGCTTTCATAGAACATAGAATAAATGAACTGGAAGGGGCCTATAAGGCCTTAACGTCCAATCCCCTGCTCAATGAAAGAATCCAAATATAGAATCAAAGAAGAGAATTTCAATAGTTTCACTAAGTGACACTCTGTGTATGTGCGTGTGTGTGTGTGCGTGTGCGTGTGCGTGTGTGTGCGTGTGCGTGGCCTGTATTCAAGACTCAGTGAACATCTCACATGCCATGAAAACCCTAAGGTCACCATACATCAGAATTGAAGACATATAATAACAAAGTTAAAAGTAAACATAACATTTAATTGTTTAATGAAATATTTTTTTTAAAAAAAAAAAACCACCACCCACTCCTATGTCTGTTGACTACTATGTATTTCCTACTGAAGAACCAAAAATCATTAATACAGTGTCATTTTAGTTAAATAATATAATTTCAATGTCTGTCTGGTGAGAACAGTTCTCCTGAGAATAAGGTAAAAAATCCTCCAAATGTTCATGTTTAAGTGCAGAATGTTCACCTTTCAGTCCCTTCATGGGTATCCTGTTTCTATTAGCTTGGAAACTAAAAATTTATTTTCTTATATAACTGCAAACCATGTTCTCCAAAACATATCATATAACAGATCAACCTGCAACTCTGATTGACAAACGGAGCCCATTATGCTCAAACAGCTCACTGTTAACTGCGTGCAAGACTGCAGCTTCAGACTCTGACAGAGATACAACAGATAAAATTGCAAATACTGTAAGAATATTTGCATGCTCCATGTTGTTTTATCATTTCTTAGCTTCAAAAGTAACTTTCTGAATCCTCCTCAAACTGTCTTTTCTTTTTATATTTACAGTGCCTTACTGAAAGCTGCAGAAGTCTCTCCTCACAAAATGCTTTGCCCAGATTTCCAACCCTATTCAACACACTTGAAATGAATGACTTCCAACAGTCATCCCAAATTGCAAGAAACTGATAGAAGACAACGGGGAACCAAAACTCCTCAATACCATGTGAATCCAAATGTTACCAACTATGAGTAGTCTCTGTACCGCACTCTGTTATTCAGTACTGTATTCAAGAATGGTAAGTTCTCTACGGATGCAGAATAATGAATCACATTCTCCCACACTCCTTTGCTGAGTAATCCTCAAGAACTAACCAACAGATTTGCAGTTTACTTTAAAAATCTTTAAAAATAATTAGTGCAAACATTCCCACATCTTCCAATCACCATGAACAAGTGCAACAAACTGTAAGTGGTTTTTCCCACTAAATGATAATTCCCATGAAGATCTAAAGTGGTTTGCATACTTTGGATTACTTAAGATATAATTAAAACAAAGAGTCAGGTGCACAATAAAGTGAGTGAACAACAGTATTATCAACATCCTATTTAATACAGTTTGCCTATATAACAGTTTGCAGATTTATTATTCTCCTTACACTCTTCAATACTCGAAAGGAAGTGAATGTGCTGGTTTGGAACCAGACCGCCCCTCAGGCACATTAGCTGGCTTCTGCAGGCACACAGGAATGATTGCTTTTCCTCTTAGACAGATCCTTGTGCTGCATCTAATGACTGGCTGAGTTTTCCCACCAGCTTGCCTGAGCCTAAAGCCTTTAACTGTGCACATGGAGCACACTGTGTGGTTCATTTGAGTCCCAGATACTGTTCTACAAACCACAAAATCAAATGTTGTGTCCTAAGGAGAATGCTTAAGATTCTTTAATGTTACTAATATATTTTGTTTAAGCAAAAATGTGACTAGTTGAGTGATCTAAGAATGAAATCTCTTTAGATATATCCTCTCCTCCTTTACAAGCTCAGTAAAGGTAGGTACTGTCATGTAGCCACAGGGAAATACAGTATACTAAGTCAGCATTAGGCTTTCCCGATCTAACTTCTGTTAATAAAGTGAGAAGTTTGCTATTACTCAGTGTTAACATATGTCTGTATCGGTCCATCAAATAAATCTGGTTGGAAAGTGGTATAGGCTATAGAAACCACTGTTTCTCAAACACCAAATCTGCTGATTTTTTTCTTTTGACTCCAAAATGTAACTATATTACCAATTTTCATGATGAAGAATATTAAAGACTTGAGTCCAAAAGAAAAGTGACTTAGTCTATTCTCTTGAGTTACTTGATCACAAAATTGCAGAACCAGTCACCATCTTGATGTCTGTAATCACCAACCCTAAATCTTTCTTCAATCAGTGCTCCTGCCACCCCATCCCTTTGCTAATCTGACACCTCCAATTATGTGCCAATAGCAATTATGTGCCAATGCACTTCAAGACACAAGAGAAATGACTCAAGAATGACTGGCAAACAAACTTTATGTACAGTTCTCCTCCAAGATGCTTCTAAACTCTCAGGTAGATTTGCTAAGGAGCCTGGCAGCAACTCCAAGTCACCAGAGTATTTTAATTTCTACCACCCTGTATTCATTCCCTGATTATCAGAAACCACACGAACCAACTGCTCCTGAATTTTCCTTGCTAATCTGGACATAAATCCTCTTTGGAGAAGTGGTGACCAAGCAAACTACGCAGGCTCTTTTATTCAACAACAGCACAAAATAACTCCCTTTGGAGTAGCACTCTTACAAATTAAAAATGTATTGAGAAGCCGAGAAAACTTGAAACAGTTACTGTACTTGTGTGGCTGCATGTTCTAGGTTGAGTAATACCCTCATTGGATCATTTGCTAGCAGGGTGAACTTACAAGTTCTTCAGAACTCTCAAGTCAAGAAAAAATTATATAAAATTTGGCCTTCAATCAAATCATTCTATAATTGGACCAGATGTGATATCCACTGCTTTTCAAACAGAATACCAGCAAGGTAAGACAGAGCTTGCAGATGCTATGTAAGCAGAGATGTCAAAGATATCACTTTAGAGTCTCTCCTCTCTACGTAGACAAAACTCCAGTTTGGGCCCTGATAAATATGTCCATTGCCTTAGGTGAGGCCTATAGACTTCTTTGTAGGCTTAGAGACCTCTTTGCAGAGCAGAAAAATATAGAGCATGTACTGCATACCACACTTTAGTACCACACTAAATATAAAATCCAATTACAATCAAAGTAGTATCCATGCCTATTTGTTGGCAACAGTGTCCTAAACTACAGTGTCATAGAAAATCTTTCTTATTACTTTTTAATAACCCAGCCCGGACCTTTATTTCTGTGGATGGATGGATGGATCACACAGTTATTTGAAGTCAGACATAGCTCAGAGAGCTGGGTAATTGACTGCAGTGCCAAACACTAGAGTTTTGATTCCTCAGTGTGCCTCCTAAAGGAAGAGCCAGCCTGTGCTGCCCTGGGCACAATGCATAGTTGCAGGGCATCCCTCAGAAGAAGGGAATGGTCAACTATTTTGAGCATTCTATACCACAAAAACCCTGGAAGGGTTTGCCTTACATTGGAATTGACTTTATGGCATGTAATTAATAAGTTAAGACCAAGGGTCAGCCAACTGCCATACAAAGATAGTTTTCTAAGATCCTGCATTTCAGTGAGGGCTCCATCTCCTTCAGGATGCTCCAGGTAGCTACAGGACAGTTTAATCAGTCCTAATTGGAAGACCATCTTCATCTTCTTCATATTCACACTATTGCTGCTATATTTTACAAAATCATCAGGGGCCCTGGAAAAGTATTTATACTTAATTTTTCCAGCCACATTGCTTCATTCTTAAAACAAAAAACAAAACAAACAAAAAAGAGTGTTTCCAGATTCTAATGTGAGTTGTGAGAAAGGAACTTATACACTTTTTGGAGGAAGTTGTGGCTTTCTCATGTTTTTGAATTCCTAAAACATGAGCCCATATCGCCAAGGGTGGCTTATTTTTCTGTTGCAAGTGAAGTGATCTGCAAAGTATTCTTATAAGAAACAAGAGTCTTACCATCTCCACTGACCCATCTTTTGGGTAATATAAAAGCTCATAACGCCGGAAAAGTGAAGCATTTGGGTCATACCACTCTGCAATAAAAGCAAATCTTTCTTCCTGGCTCTGAAAAACAAACAAAAGAATGCAGGAATTTTGTAATACACTTCTCCCTTGAATTGCATGGGTTTAAGCAGCCTGGTTTTGTGAATAGTGAATACTTTATTGCTTTACAGCCAAACAGCTTGTATACCAGAGGATAAATTAAGCCAGTCTAAAAATAGTATTTGACATCTAATATAATTACATATAAACAATCAGAAAAGGATAAAATAAAATAGGAATAGTAAAATAAGCATTCTCAAGTAAGTATTAAGTTGTGAAATTAAGTTCAAGAACTTCTAAAGCAGGCTGTGAATTCCATCTTTCCATGGCTCATTTAATGTTATGGTCCTATACAACAGGGGTCCCCAACCCCCAGTCCGCAGCCCAGTACTGGGTCATGGCCTCGGCAGGCTGGGTCACGAAGGCAGATCTCCTGCCCCCCCAGCCCCGCATAGATGGCCCACCAACACACACACACACACATGCTCCGCCCACCCACACAAGCACATGAGCATGCCCTGCCCCCACACAAGCACAGAGGTGCCTCCCTGCACACGGACCTCCACCACCCCAACTGGTCCACAGCTTGGACCAGTTGCGTGTGGCATATAGATCTGCGCCACCTGGTAGAAATGGTTTTGGTTATACATAAAAAATTCAATCCATCCATCCATTCAGATTCAATAAATAAATATTCAATAAATACTGTGACCCTGGCCATCCAGAACACCATGAGTTCAACACTAAAGACAAACTCAAAATGGTCAACTTGTCCCCAAACACAACATCTCTAATTCAGCCCCTCATGATTAGGGGGTCATAAAGACCTTCCAGGCTCATTACACAGAGTGAGGGAGAGGGAAAGGGAGAACTGTTTATACTTTGTAGTTATGTCTTGGGGGGCATAAGAATTATACAAGGATTTTGAACTACACAGAGATCTGGCATCCCTAACTCCAGCATTGTTGAAGGGAACAGTGTCTCATAAAACTCCTATCATTTAGACCAACAGCAAGAAGAAGCACTAGACAGGCTATGGGTCCAGAGATCTTTCTCACGGGCTTTTGCCCGACAGAAATTATAATTTAGGGCTCAGCTTAAAACAATGCAAAGTAGGACATATACATAATTCACTTTTAAGTTACCAAGCCTCGAACAGGGGTTTTGAGGAATGTAATATGTTTAAATCATAGATTTGAACCTCATTCTTCCAAGTTCTAACCCAACACTCTAACCACTACACCAACCACACTAGGTCTGTAAAAGTAAGTCTGCAAAAAATGCTTAGAGGACAGTAGCTTGTTTCTGTGTAGGACATGAAGGAAAAAGCTGAACCAACACAGAAACAGAGTCTAGCAGTTTCTTATGCAAGCAAAGAAAAAAATTCTTTCACCAGGGGACAGGTGAAGAATAGGTAGATGGCTTATGCATCACTCTACGAGCCTTCTGTGTTTCTGTGCAAGACATGAAGGAAGACACTGGGCAGTCTTCCTGACCAGTCCACACACATAATTGAGCAGGCTTCCTGATCATCTATGGATAGCAGATGAATTGTTAAATACAAGTGTTAAATTTAATAATATTATTAATTTCTGCTTCAGACTACTTCAGTCATAATCCATTCCTTCTATTCAGGCGGCGTCACCTCCCCCATGCAGGCACACTGGCATAAGAAGGTTGCTCACAATCCCATTGTTACTTTTTCCCTCCCTGTTCTCATAAATAAGATGATCAAACTCTCAATAACATGAAAGAAACATACATCTGAGTACCTTCTGCTTCCCCCAGACTTTTTAAGATTGGATGTCAGTCAAGTAACTTGCCATTTAAATTATCAGCACTCCAAAACAGATGATGGCATTCAAAGAAAGCAGTTGTGAGCCAATAATTTCCCACTGCTGCATAAGAACACTGTTGCAGTACCATTTATGACTCACTAGATTAACAGCTTGTTAAGAAACCTTCTCCTGTCTCAAAAATTACCTCTCTGTTTTGCCAGAAATGAAGAAGAGACAACAAGTCATAACCACAAGAGACTGTAGTTATTTACTAGAGAGATGTTGGATAATGGAAAATTCTCCTTATTCACCCTTTGCACTGTCTTGCTCTTTCCAGAATCACACTGAAGCACTCAAGCTCTGTCAACATTCTGCATCCTAAAGAAGACTATTTCAATTTCTACAGCTGCCAATCTTTTGCCTGCCATTTTACTGTAAAATCTTTATCCCAGCAATTTTAGAATATATTCTCTATTTTGTTTGGCACTAAAAGAGCAAGCAACTTTATACTTTTCCAACTATGATTCACACCCACCTGAAGACTGACATCCAGCAGAAAAACTAGGGAATTATATCTGCACCATGACTTTGTGTCACCTCCTGACAATATTATACTCCTGGTGCACTCAAACCCCACAACCACATTCAGGTATGCCTCAAAAGAAAAATCTCCAGGTTCTGCTGAAAGAAACTCCTGTCTGAAAATGTGAATGATTTCTGCTAGACGGTTTCGACAATATCATGCCCTGAAGCTCACAATGTATGAGAGTTGAGGAACTGATGTACTCTCAGAATCAGAATTTATATATGTGGCAATCACCCTGCTTTGGCTCGTGTATGAGGATATTTGCATACATCAATGGGAGCTGTTGGAAAGCGGAACCAAAGAAACCAGAAGGGAGGGGTGAGTCACAGTCTGGGAAGTTCAGTCTGTGAGAGTCAGAGAGGAGAGTCTGAAGTAGAAGTTAGTCTGTGATAGTTAGAAAGTGAAAAATGGAAGTTGGACCAAGAATACAAACTCAGGAAACTAGAAATTAAAGAAAGAGAAAGGGAACTAGAAATTAAAGCCAGGGCTGAAGGGAAAGCTAAGGAACTAGAGCTCAAGGAATTAGAGATTAAGGAGAGAGAGAGCTGAGGCCAGACAAAGGGAATTTGAGCAAGAAAACAGGCAAAGAGAAATGTGATTTCAAATAGAGATAAAGAAACTGCTCAAAATAATAGTAACAATTCTAGTGAGGTAAATCTCTCAAAAATCTACTTAAAAGAAATTTCCTCGATATAGAAAAGGGGATTGTCCTGAATTTTCCTGATTTCATTTGAGAGAACTTGTTAGGACTTTGAGGTAAGAAGAGAGGATGATAATTTTTAGATCACAAATAAATGGGGTGTTAGCTGAGCTTTATTCACAGATGCCTCTGGAACAAGCTAGAGATTTTGAGGCTTATAGAAAGATGGTGTATTCCAGATTTTGAATTAATTCAGAGCACCTCAAAAAGAAATTTAGATCCATTTTAAAGAAACCTGAGGAGTCTTTTACCCAACTTGGAGCACGTTTGATACAGCTTCTTAATAAATGGTTGGAACAGGAATATGTCTCCACCTTAGAACAAATAAAAATGTGATTGGATTAGAAAAATGTTCCATTTTGCCAGGGGAATTGCGTTATTTGGTCAAGGACAAAGATCCTAAAAATGTATTACAGGAGTCTGAATATGCTGATTCCATTAGTGAGATCAGAGATCTTTGATTCTCTGAGGTAAAAATTGGTAGAAAAGTGTGGGACCACAGGAGGAGAGGGCCCCCACCCAGTAGAGATCACCTCAGAAGTACAGAAGCTAATGGAAGCCATTTTAGAGGAAAACCCTCATCCACAGAGCAGTCACCTGAAACCTTAAAGTTCTGAGGGAAAAGTTAATAAAATCCTGTATGATGAAAGAAGGGCTAATAAACAATGCTTCAACTGTGGCAAATCAGGACATTTCTGGGCTCAATGTGAGACGCATGGGAATAAGAATGTCAGTCAGCATAAAGGCGGAAACTCCACTCAGCCTAAAAAGGTATTTTGTGTACAGCATAATAAGGCACAGCAATTGGCAGCTGAAGCTGAGGCCTCTTTCTGCCTCAGCATGGTTGCAAAGGAAATGGTCTTGACAGAGTCCACACATTCCTGAAGTGAGAGTGTTACAATGTTTCCTAGTCCAGTGTGATCCTATTTTATTAGAAAATTCAGCAGAAAAGATTTGTATCAATGGCATAAAATATTTTAGCCTTAAAGATTCATGCTCTCAGATAACTATTTGCCATCCTAACTTAATCCCTAAGGAAGACATGATAGTACATGAGAAGGTTTCTGTTAAAGGGATAGGTTCTGAGTTGGTGCTCTTACCTACAGCCAAAATCTCAGTGAACTATAAGGGGTGATCTGGTATATGGAAAGTAGCAGTGTCAGACCAAATTCCTGCTCCTTGTCTGATTGGGTTAGATCTATCTAAACTTGTGCAAAGTGTTTTAGTAGTAGCATGCTCTCATGGGAGGCAGATTGAAGCCTCTGAGGAAAGCGCTGGAACCCTTGTTGAAAAACCCACTTTAGAGGAACAGCCTTAAATGAAAGAGACAGCTGAAGTGGTGTTACTGAAAAATTCTAATACTGTAGTTCATCCCTCATTAGAGAACGAAAGGAAGATACCACCCTGGTTCTGTGTTTTGAAAAGGCCAAGGAATTTCCCTTCCCATTATCTCCTGAACACCCAGAGAGGCATTGTGTGGAAAAGGGTTTATTATATAGAGAGATTTTAAAGGCACCTCATAGCGGGGGAGGACCCCACAAAGAGCTAATTGTCCCTGTAAAATATAGGGAGAAGTCCTTAGAAATAGCAGAGTCAAGCTTGGGGGTACTCACGGAAAGGAGAAAGCCTTGTGTGATGAAAAGACCCAGAAAAGAGCATTCTGTCTTGAGGGCAGTGAGGCTGAGACCCCTAAAGGGGAGTGAATTGCTGTTCAGAATCTGTGGATTTGTTGCAGCAGCACTGGAGGGCTGGGGAGACTAGTCTTGGGAAGTCTCCACATGCAGCTGCAAAAGCACTAGTAATCCTTCAAGGAAACCCCTAACTTAGAAACCCGAGATTAAAAGAATAGAACCAGATGATGAAAATCTCGATACATCTGAAATAAGCCAAGTGCGTGAGATGGCACTTAAAAGAAACTTGCCTATGAATTTTGAGGTGACCCATGATAGTGGTCCCC